CCTCGAACTCACAGAGATCCGCCTGGCTCTGCCTCCCGAGTGCTGGGATTAAAGGCGTGCGCCACCACCGCCCGGCCAGATCTATATATTCAAGAAGCCTCAAATCCTATATAAGTTAAAAACTGTACTTCCCTATTGTTCACACAATTCATTTCATGGTATGAATGCAATTCAATCTGATCTGTCCAGGCTTAGGAAAAAATGTGTTTCTGGGAAATAAAGAGGAGAGATTCTGTTATTTGTTGGAGGTATTTTACTCCCATATATAGCAATGGATTTTCCCCAATGGCCAAGATATCTTTGCAGAGTTTGATCGCCATTATATCTGTTGTAAATCCCGTGGGAAGCTGCCAGCCTGATCACACCGTGCTTTAGGAACAGAAAATTGCCTGCAGCAGGTTGATAGGAGTCACCCTTGTACTCCACCTGCCCTGTCCAACATGCACTGAACACCAATATTTGGAAATAAATTATTTGTAAAGAAAACTTTAAGAGTTATTAGGAAATAGGAAGATTCCTTTTCCAATCTGCACTGGATAGTGGGGACTACAAAACAGGTGTGCTTTGTTGATGCTTTCGGTATCTGGAAGCTGCACTTTACAAAAGATTCAAATGAAGTCGGGGGTGAGGAGAAGGGTGACATTGTTTTGTTCTATTTTAAAAGAATTCATTTGGCTGGAATACATGCTAGCCACCCTGCTACTTGTTTGTAATAGAACCTGGCAACAAAGAGTGGGACTTTGAAGGCACCTGGGCCATGATGGATGCTAAACCAGCTCCTTTTGTAGCTTCCTAAACAAGAGGGGGAGTTGTGTGCCCAGTGCCATGTGAGGGGAGAAGAGCTGTGCTGTAGGACGGCCTTCCTCAGACAGGAGAGCGCAAACTCCCCTGATGTTACATGAGGCTCGCTGCAAGGAAACCCTTAGAAGCTGGCAGTAGAGGAATTAATAGCCATTCCTATGACCGAAAGGACCCACACCGAGAAAGCATTAGAAATAATGGTAAGAGCTAAATACCAAAGAAAGCTCTGGAATCAGATGCTGTTCAGAAGTTCTTACACCACTTACTGCTCACCACAGCTGAGCAGAGCAGGTGTCACTATGGTTTCATCCTAGATGATGAAACCAGACCTCAGAAAGTTCCGACAACCTTCTCACATCACTGCACAGAGCGTTTGTGAAACCACAGCCATTTCGTTGTATCTTATGCTGTATGGAAGAGTCTTGGAAAGGTCTTTTAATTGATTATTATCTAAAGAATTGAAAGTAGATTCTAAAACTCTCTGTCCACACTCTTATTTGTAATACATACACATGCTTTCTGACTTCAATACATTAATATTGGCAGGCATTTGTCAGACCCTTAACTCCTGGACAGTGGCGACACCTAGAGCCTCATGTGGTATGTCTGACATACCATCCGTGTGTGTATTTGGGAAAGTAAATCTATAACTCACATGTAGATGCAAAGGGGCTGCCAGGAGGTAATTAGGGTTAAGTTTGGTGCTGTGGGTTGCCCCAATAAAGGAATACACAACTGAAAAGAGTGTAGTTGAAGGTTACATGTTCTTGTGCCCTTTTATTACAAGCACCCTGCCCACCCTGTTATCACCATGTGACACTGACCCATTGTTATTGAAGTTTTCGGCTTTCAAAGCCATGAACTGAATAAACTTGTACTGTTGATTAGTTTCCCACAGGGAGGTACTGTTAGCAACATGATATAGAAACTGCAGTACACAGCATTAGCAGAGGGCAATTGTGAGATTCCATAGAATAACTAGGCAAAGGGATGCAGTGACACTTGGTGGTTAAGAGATGGGCTACTGTCACAGAGGCTGGTGCTCTCTTCCCAGCTCCACAAGGTGGTTCATAACCACCTGCAACTCCAGCTCCAAGGGATCTGAGGCCATCTTTGGCCTCCTTGGTCACTGCACTCATGTGCACATGTTTTCACAACCTTGCCCCAGCACACACACATCCCTGTATTAAAAAATAAAAACTCAGTGAAGCACATAATCTAATCTGCCTTTGTGATCCACAGGATGTCTCAGGGGCAAAAGCACTTGCTATACAAACCTGAGGAGCTGACCTGAATTGAATTCCCAGATCCCATGATGGAAGCAGAGAGATGAATTCCAAGAGTTGTGTTCTGACCCCCACATATAAATCATAGCACACATAGATCTACACATGGTGCACATGCACATACAGGCAAGCCCACACATGGTCCTGGGATCCTCCCCTCTCTCTTTCTTTAAGGCTATCTTCATCCTGATTAGAAGGTAATGCAATGGAATAAAAACTTATGTATAGAATTAGGAGTATTTTAAAGAAGTAAAATGAGTTATTGAGTTATTTAACACTACAGGCCAAATCTTTCCTCCTTCACTAAAAACACTAATGTTCATGATTGATATTGTGGAACTGCAGACTTTAGTCAAGATTCAGCATCTAAGATAAAACCACAAAGCAGTGTCTTCCCAGTTGTAAGGAGAATAGAAGCAAATCACATTTATTCCATATGTAAGTTTGTCTATCTTCATCCCGAAATAGTTTTGTCATATTTAAAAGTTCAAAAGAGTACTTTAAGTAAATTTAATATAGGGACTAGACATATAGATTCTGTAATTATAAATAATTATCACAAAAATATTATGATTACATAACTGATTTTTATGAGCCCATGTTACATATTCATATACTTGTTTCTCTTAAAGTTACTAAGTAATTTATCCATCCCCATATCACCCTATAGGATTGTATTTATATTTTCTGACTTTCTCCAAAATCTTTCTCTTGCTTATCAGACAAGTCTAGAGAGGAAAACAAACCAAAACAAAAAAAAACAGCATTTTTTTCACAAGTTTTTAATATCTAAAAAACAGAGTTCTATGGTGATATTTCATTTGTACTGAAATGTGATTTTATTTGTATGTTAATAAATAAAGCTGCCTGGGGGTCAGAGCTAGATGCCGGATGGTGGTGGCACACGCCTTTAATCCCAGCTCTTGGGAGGCAGAGCTAGGTGGATCTCTGTGTGTTCAAGGATACAGCCAGCATGGAGACATACGCCTTTAATCTCAATACCAACCATAGAAGACCTGGAGGTCTGTATAGACAGGCAGTGATGAGGAGGTCATGTGGTTGGGGTTACAACCAATGAGAAGGCAGAACAGAAAGTCAATGAAAAGAGAGATACACAGGAAGTAGGTCTCTTGCTGAAGGGAAGGACAGCAGCAGCAGGAAGGGTAAGAAGTCAGTTTTAAGTCTCAGCTCTCAGCTACTGCTCTGATTTCTTGGGCTATTAGCTCTGTATTTGGCTCTGTGTTTCTTATTTAATAAAATGGTTGTGTCTACAGAGTTCTTTTTCTCTACTTAATCTGATCATTGTATCCATT